CTCCCGGCCCAACTCCCTCCCTATACAAGTGGCAAAACGAAAGGCAGGATTCTAACTCAGGTCATCGGATTCCAGAGGCCAAGCTCATTCCACCAGGTGTCATAGTATTTGGAGAACTCATTTTGGAGCCAGAAAAACCTGAGTTCAGATCCTGCTACAGACACTTAGTGGCTATGTAACCCTGGGCAAGTCACTTAAGCTCTGTCTGCCTCAGTTTCCTCATCTACAGAAATGGAATAATAGTAGAGTCTATCTCGCAGAGGTGTTGTAAGGAGCAAAGGAGGTAATATTTGTAAAGTCCTCTGCAAAGTTTGAAATGCTGTATAGACATCAGCTAAGAAAGGGACAAGTCCTGGATGTCCTGAGCTGGCTACTTTGGGGATATAAGACTGTTATCTGGCTTGGCAGCAGGGAGCCAACAGGAGCAGATACGGGCAGAGTGTACTTTGGGGAGGACAAACAAAGTGAGATTCCTTCCTCAGGGAACAGAGGCAGCAGCCCCGAGCAGAGACAAAGAGAGAGGGCAGGCCGGGGAGCCAGGGTGTCCTAGGTTCAAATCCCCGCCATTGCTCTAAGCCAAGCTCTGGTACCTAAGACTCTAAGCTGTAGAGAGAGCCGAGACGCATCAGGAGACGGGGTTTTCTCAGTTACAAGTGACTTCCACCGATGGAATTACACATTTAGTCCCCACTCCTATCACTCCTCAAATGTGGCAGCTGGATCGTCCGCAGCACACACATGGTCCAATAGAACGTCACACTTCTGCTTCTCCCCATCTTCGTGAGGAGCGGTCGTCAGACGTATTTTGAAAAATCTTTGTTTCTCTAAAACATAAATGGCCAAAGAACAGCTTTCTAAAGAAGAAATAGGAACTATCAATCATTACACGAAGGTGTGTTCCAAATCATTACTAACAAGAGAAATGCGAATTAAAACAACTTTGAGCTTTCAATTCACAACCAGGAAAATGGCAAAGGTGATAAAAGACTGAAACAGTCACTGCTCCAGCAGGACAAGCGTGCTAACACGTGGGTTTTTCTGTTTTTTTGTTCTTTTGCTTTTTTGGTGAGGCAGTTGGGGTGAAATGACTTGCCCAAGGTCACACAGCTAGTGAGTGTCAAGTATTCTAATACATTGTTGGTGGAACTGCAAATTCATTAAGAGATCGTATGTTAAGAGTTCATAGGAACATCAGAGACCATTGGGTCTAATTCCCTTGTTTCACAGAGAAGAAGCTGAAGTGCAGAGTTTAGGTGGTTTGCTTGGGGTCATGTGGTAAGTGAAAGGATGAAATGAGATGATTTCCGTAAGGCACTCTGCAAACCTTAAAACGCTGTATTTATATAGCCAGTCAATTGGTCTCTCTCTCTCTCCGTATAGATTGTCAAGAAGCAAGGGGACACCCCCTATTCCAAAGCTGAGGCCCAGCAAGCAAGCTGTTCCCTGAGCTTAGCATAACCACAATCCTTTGTGCTCACCCTCTGAATGATCTCACCCTCTGGCAAAATCACATAATTCTTCTATTGCTTTGACCAGCACCGGGTGTTCTCTGAGCTCGGACAAGCAGCTGCTGCACCCATGTTCCAGTCATGAAACCCTGCTATGAATCAAACTCGTCTCATTGTTGCTGTTAACCCCTCATTGCCTGGGCAACAGCTCATTGAGTAGCCATCGGTGTAAGTATCCAGGTTTAGCCACACTAACGCAAGTCCCCCCACTAGGGGCGGGGCTCCTTTCTTAAAAGTCGGTTCTCTCACTTTGAAATTAAACTTCTGTTTAGTTCCTGACTCTCCTGTCTCTGGCTTGCTCTATTCGGCTCAGGCCATCCGTGGGTTAGAGGACGGTTCGGTCTGGTTGACAAGATATGTGTGTGTGTGTATGTATGTGCGTATGTATGAGTATATGTACGCAGTAGTAGTAGTAGTAGTAGTAGTAGTAGTAGTAGTAGTAGTAGCAGCAGCAGCAGTAACAGTATTTGCAGTAAATATCTGAAATGGAATTTGAACACAGATGTTTCTGACTCCCAGTATAGGAATCCTAATCACTATGCCAGCCTGCAAAATACTTTGGAGCTATTCAAGAAATGGCACTAAACGGTTCCCCTCTCAGACCCAGTGATCCCATTATTGGGGATCTAAGCCCCAGTGAGGTTCAAAGACAGAAAGGGAAGTCTCTCACGTGCCCAAGTATTAGTAGCAACACCTTCTGGAATAACAACAAAACTGAAGTGAAAGGGGGTGTCCAGGGGTGTCCATCAATTGGGGGGTGGCTGAACAAGCAGTAATATCTGAGCATAATGGAATAGCGCAGCGCTTTTAAGAAGTGGCGAGTATGAGAAATTCAGAGAAATGTGGAAAGGAAACTCTTATGAACTGATCAGAGTCAAGAGAGCAGAGCCATGAGAATGATATACACAAGGTCTTCTTCAATAACATAAACAAACAAACAAACAAACAAAAAACTGGACAGCAGCAGAACTCAGAGCAATTACAAAGACTAGAAGATGCATGATGAAATATACTTCTCTCCTCTTGGAAGAGAGGTGGGGGACTACAGGTGCAGAATGCTGCATACACTGTTGGAAATGGTCACTGTGTTAGCTGGTTCTGTTTAGATGTCTTTGTTGTTGTTGTTGTTGTTGTTGTTGTTAAAAAGGGCAAGTTCCATGACGTCAAACCAAAGGCCTCAGTAAAAAGCTTCCTTCAATTTTTACTTTTTTCAAGTGAAGTGACTTTCTCAATTCAGACTCAATTCCCCTAAAGGGGAATGCCTTTATTCCACCATAGGGGTTCCTGGTACCCACTCACAGGTTTGTTAAGGGTGTCCAGTGGCATCCTCTGTGGATAGAGGATGTTTGGGAAGATAACACCACATATAAGAGGGGATTGGTGGGTCCATTTTGTACACTGGATAGAGGACTCTCCATGAGATGAACATGGGTCCATGGGAGTATTGATGAAAGGATTTCTCCTCAGTGCTAATGAAGGAGAAACCCACCTTTTCCCAAGTGGCCCAGCCAGGGCCACACTTGGAATTCCTTGCTGCCTCTGCCCACTTGGGCCCCCCACAACCTTCAGAGCAGCACCAGGGCTGCTGTTTCCATAGTTGAATGAACTGCACGTCAGAAGGGTATGTCTATTTTGATGCTCTGGGCAGAAAAAAAAAAGAGCCATCACGCAGCAGGGCACTGAAGAGAAATAAAGAGACTGGGCATCTGCCTGGGGTAAATACAGACAGAAAATGAGCACTGGGCCACATCTGGAAAAAGAACTATGGAGTCTGAATGCAGCTCGAAGCACACTATTTTCTCTCTTTTTTTGTTTTTTTTTCTCATGGTTTTTCCCTTTTGTTTGGATTCTTCTTTCACAACATGACTAATGTGGAAACATGTTTAATATGATCATACATGTATAGTCTATATCAGATTGCTTTCCATCTTGGGGGGAGGAGATTAGAACTTAAAATCTTATAAAAGTGAATGTTGAAAGCTAAAAATAAATTTAAAAAAAAAAAAGAAAGAGAGCAAACGAGCCCCAGCCTCTGGAAGGAGGTTCCAGAGCCTCATGGGGCTTCTCTACTCAGTGGCAATGCAATGTGGCCCAACTGGTTGGGGAAGTGGCTGAGGCTGGGCAGGGAGGAAGGAAAGCCTGGCTAACAGTGAGGACAAGGAGTCTTTTTTTCTCCCGAAGTCTCTCCTTCAAAGTTGTCCTTACTGAAAGTTAACTTGTATTTCAGGAAAAAGTCATGTGAGTGCAGTGATTGAACAATTCAAAGAGAAGGGACTGCTTCAGGTCCTACAAGAGAGTGAGGATGCTGGCTCCCACCTAGAGAATGTCTGCATCCCCAGGGCTCCTGGTGGCCCCCTTTTTAAGGCATTGTAAGAAAATGGGTCCAACTGCATGCGGACATTGAGGCTCCCAGATCAGGACATCAGGTAGCCCCAACACTCAGGTGGAAGATGAAGAATTGAGGCAAGCCTCCAGATGACACATCACCACTGTGTAAAATATCTAAATGTTGGAGAAAGTCCAGATGACCCCTATTCCCGCTTTCCCCCTGGACTTCTGATGTTGAGAGGAAACACCCTGAAATCTCTAGTTGGTAGAGACAGAATGATTCTCAACCACATTTAGGTGGCAAAGCTGAGGATGAGAGGGACCACTGATCAGGAGATGCACACATGTGATCCAACCCTCATTTAACAGATGAGGAAACTGAGGTCCAGAGAGAGGTGAAATGATTCCAAGGTCACATGGGCAGTAACTGGCAAAAGAACTTAGTATGTTAAGGTCCATGGACCCCTGTGGATAAATTTCAGGGGGTCTATAAACTTGGATAGAGAGAGGGGATCATCTTTTAATTTTCATTCACCTCTAATCTAAACTTAGCACTTCTTTCCATTGCGAATAGAGGCAACAACCATAATTCTAAGAAGGGCTCCCTAAGTTTCACCGACATACAAAATGGGTCCATGATACACAAGATAGGGGTAAGGACCCTGTGTGTCTCCTTCAATATCCTTGTATATATCCAATGTATAAATAACCCTGGTCTCCGTCAATATCCCTTCTCTTGACAGAGAAGGAAACTGAGGCCCAGGGAGGTAAATGTCACTCTGCCAATTTACATAGACAATGATTGTCAGAGGTGAGATTGGAACCCAGGCGCTCTAGCTCCAGAGCCAGCCTCTCTCCATCCTATCCCACTCCCGGCATAAACACACGAACACAACTGACTTCACCAGCTCGCACAGGTAGGAGCTTGTTGGTTCCTAAACCCACTTCCCCTTTTTCTTTAGTTGAGTAACACCATCAAGAGGTCAATTAATTTCCTGTTGTAAAAAGGAAAAAGATGGATAAAAATACAAAGGCGGGTTTTTGTCAAATCTGACACAAACTTCCAAAGTAAACGAAGTAAGGGAAGACCATCCAAAGGAGAAATAGCCACCCTCGGGGGACTGACGGAGCGGCGGGGAAAGCAGGACGGCTGTGAGATCTTACCTCGGAATAGAGGATGCCCATGGTGCTGACTTGGGCGCCGCCTGGAGAGCCCCCGCTGGCTTCAGCTCTCCTCGTAGTGTCCTTGGGCTGGCACCGTTTTCTTCCAATTCACGTTAAAATTCTCCGGCAGAGAGCGCGCCCAGGAAGCCTGAAGATTACCAAGGGCACCAGATCCGAGCTTCAGTCACCCCGTGCCCCAAGCGCTTTCCCAATCCTTGTGCACAGACGGAGTCCCACGCCCTTCACCGCCCAGCCCAACTAGGGAAAAGCCAGCGGTAGCTCACCACTAAGCGCTCAAGCCCTGCGAGGTCCTGCCCAGAGAAGCCTGTTTCTGAGTCATCGTCAGCAGCAGGGATGGCTGCCTGCCTGAAGCCAAACACATTTGGTGGGGGAAGAAAAGTTTTCACAGGGACGGAGCTATGGAATAAAGGAGGCTAGGGGGCCACAGCTGAATCGGGACCCTGGGAAATGTAGTAGTTGGGACTACTAGAATCTGCCATGGCCCCCTAGTGCCTTGGAATGAAATGATAACGTGGGTAAAATGAAATAATAGTAAAATGCTTTGCAAATCTTAAAATGCTACAGAGATGCCAGCTGGTGTTGTAATTATTACTAAAAAAAATAATAATAAACAAAATAAAATACAAACCGTGGACTGGCATATCACACTCTACCTCCAGCCTAGCTTTCTACTGAGCTCACATTAATCACATTAATATTTCACAGGCAGCCCTTCTCAGGTACCTCCAGGTTCCTGTTACCTGTTGCCTCATTTATTTATTTTTGTTTCACTCTATTCCCTATCTGAAATATTCTGTACAGACTAAGTCAGCCAATGTATGAATTCCCAGCAGAGAGCTTTAATTAAAATGGCATGGGCAGAAGACTATGGGAATAAAATAAGAAGAACAATAAAAACAACTTCATGTGAGTGATTAAAATGACCAACGTTGGTCCCTAAGAAGAAGGAAAGAAATGATCCTCCCTTCTTTCATTGGAAAGGTGGGGGACTCTGGGTTTGGAGTGTTGCATATACAGTAAGACAGTCACTAGATTGGTTTCACTGAACCGTTTTTCTTTGTCATAAGGGAAGACTCCCTGTTGGAAGGGTGAGAATTATAAGAAGCATTAAAAAATGACATTAAAATACATCAATAAAACTTTTAAATTAATTCATTAAAATAGAACAGCAGGGTAATAATGGTACACTGAGTCAGGTATTACAAGCTCTTAGCACCTTTTCACAGAAGACTGTTACCACCTACATCGGTCTCCTGGGGAGGGCCTATCTCATCTTCCCATTAGCTATTCTTTCTCTGAGAAACTTGTAAAAAGTGACCTGGGACAGAGGGTTGGAGAAACTCTCTGCAGTCCTTAGGATGGGTGTTTTCAGCACGGGAACCAAAGGTTAGAGAACACTGACCATCTTCTAATAAAAAGGCTGGGCTCCTTGGCCTGGGTACCAGAGCATCATGAGAACTCTATGTTGTGACTTCTTCACCCTCATGGTCCAAGTTGGCACAAGATACCCTCAGACATAGCTGCCGTTTTCTTTTTCTTTCTCTCCAGATAGATAGAACTCATCCCTTTCCAACTCTGGCTCTTGCCTTCTAAAGACTTTCCCCAGTGCTTTTTCAAAACCTTCTGCCCTCAGAAGCTTCTCATATGGCAGTTTCATACACAGCCTCCTGAGGGCTATGCCCCAAAATGAGCATAGTTTCTGGGCTTCTTCATACCCCCATGATTCAACCCAGCCAAACTGAACATTGAAAGCTTTGCAAGCTTCTGCCTTATCTCACCCTGCTCTCTCCTGCCCCAGAGCAATTGAGTGGACTCCCCTGGCCTGGCCACTGCATGCCTGGAAGGCACATTTGCTTTGTGTTTGCCTGATAAAATCTGTCTCTTTCTTCAAGGGGTAGTTAGCTCAAGTTCAACCTCCTCCAAGAAGCCTTCCATGATCCCCAACTGAAAAGGTTCTTTCTTCCTCCTCACATTTCTCCAGCGTCTGTCTGAATCTCTTCTTTATCCCCAATACATGCTGCCTTGTATTTTACTCATCTATGAATATATCCTGTCTGCCCACCTCCACCACCCCACTCCCCCAGTAGATTACTAGCTTTTGGAAGAAAAAAAAGAGAAAAAGATATATTTGTCCAAAAAATATTTATAGCAGCTCTTTTTGTGCAGGCTAAGAATTGGAAGGGATGCCCATCAATTGGGGAATGGTTAAACAAACTGTGAAATATGATTGTAATAGAATATTATTGTGCCGTAAGAAATCACAAGCAGGATGATTTCAGAAAAACCTGGAAAGACATACATGAACTGATGCATACTGAAGTGAACAGAAATAGGAGAACATTGTACACAGTAACAGCAACATTGTTTGATGAAGAATTGTGAATGACTTAGCTATTCTCAGCAATGCAATGATTCGAGACAATTCCAAAGAACTAATGATAAAGGGTGCTATCTGCCGCCAGAGAAAGAACTGATATTGATTAAATACAGACTGAAGCATACTACTTTTAACTTTTTTTATTTGAGTCTTTTTATACCAAAATTACTAATATGGAAATGTTTTAAATAATTGCACGTGTATAACCTATATCTGATTGCTTACCATCTCAGGGAGGGGGAGGGGAGGAAGGGAGGGAGGGATAGAATTTGGAACTCAAAACTTTAAATAAAAATGTTTAAAAATTTTTTTTTCAAATAAGTGCTTGGAAGTTAAGGGCTATGTTTATTCATCTTCGCATCTCCCCCACCACCTACCACAATGCCTGGTACAGAGTAAATACTCATTGAATGTTTGTTGGGTGAATGAATATATGAATGAATGAATGAATGAATGAATGAACGAATGAATGAACCAACAAACGAAAAGGCATGAGTCAGTTTTCTCCTCTCTAAGAGAAGAAAGTCAATCAATCAATACGCATTTACTAAGAACATTCATTATGTGCCAGGCACTGTGCTGAAGTCCTGGGGATACAAAGAAAGGTGAAAAACAGTCGTTGCCCTCAAGGAGCTTACAATCTAATGGGGGAGACACGTTGCAAACAAATATATGCATTATTTATTAATTAAAAGAAGGAAGGCACTGGAATTAAGGGGGATTGGAGGCTTCCTCTAGAAAGTGGAATTTTAACTGGATCTTAAAGAAAGCTGGGGAGGCAGTAGGTGGAGATGAGGAAGGAAGGGCATCTCGGACATGGGAGACTCGAAAGCAGGTCTCTCCTCAGTTCTGTCTGGGACTATTTCCTCTCCCCCTCCTCCCCACTCCCACCCCACCTCACCCCCACCCCGCACAACCTGCAGACAATGACTGACCCGTCTGGGTTAGAGAATTCAAATCAGGAAACTACAAGGTATTTAGAGAATGGAGTTTGAGCATTAAGTCTTGGGAAAGAGCTGAGGATTTTACCTGGACATGACTCCTCAGGTAGAAGAGATTCGATTTTTGATTTGTTTTGCCTGAAGGAAAGGCAACGTGATAGATAAGGTGTTTGAAGTTTTGCCTCAAGTTCCAGTTAAGGAAGTTTGTTTGCGGAGGACCGGAGCTATCAAGACCAAGTAAATAGTTCAAATAAGGAAGTCAGAGTGGAGAAAAGGATCTAATTGAGTTCTGAGGCAGTGCTGCTTAGGGGAGAGTCTACCCGACTTGAAATAAGAAGGACAGGGTTCGAATCTTACGCCTCACACTCAGCAGCTGTGTGACGCTGGGCAAGCTATTTGTTTAAAATGGGGATAATAGTACCTGTGGTACCTACGGCATTCAGCAGCATGCCGCTAAACGTTCTCTGGAAATAAAAGGTACAGGACTACGGGCATTTTAAGTTTGTTTGCACTTTCTCCTTCACTTTCTTAAGTGTAAACTATCCACAAAATGGTCAATCAATCCTTGGTTTGGGACATTTGTTGATCTCGAGGTGCAAGTGCAAATTTAACAATCGGCTTCAGGAGTACGCCTTGGGCACCGTGACCTTGCACTCTGTCTCAGGGATTTTGGCCTTATAGGTGAGCTTCCCCCTAATCTTGCCCAGAATAGGCTTCCAAATTATTTCCTCACCATTTGTGAAGCGCGCCACTACACGTTAGCCCCGTCGCTTACCCCCTGCCCTCTTTCCAGTTCTTGCTTTCATATGTAGTTACCAGCATTAGAGTATGAGCTCTTGAGCCTACAGGGCAGGAACTGACTTGACTTTTTCCCTTGTTTGTATTTGTAGTCTCAACCCTTAGCACAATGCCTGGAATTAATATATTGTTACTAAATATTGGCTCTATCTATCCAATCTATCTATCTGTTTGTCTGTCCGCCTATCCATCTATCTATTTATCTATCTAATCTCTCTATTGTAGACCTCTCTCCAAACCATTCTGGGCTTAATCTACCATAATGCTTTGCATTGTGTTGCTCTCTGAGTGAACCAAAATGCCCTTTCTTGTGTCAGCAATCATAGGACCAGATGAGAGCGTTCTTTTGTTTATGACTACTAAGGATCCTTGACCCAGACACCACCTTAAGTAGCGGGACTTACCTTAGTCCTTTATGGACATACACTATGTTATGTTAATGGTACAAGAAGCACAGGTATGCTGGGTCTATAACGTCAATCGACACTTTGACATTCTCTTATTGTATTTACAATCTACTCACTTAAGAAATTCCTTTCTCATATCATGGTTAAATATTTGGAGACCATAATTTTGGCTGACATAGGCATCCTGAGCCAGGGTGGGAGGGAGGAGTGAGAAGGAATTACTCTGAACATAAAAAAATCCTCTGTCCATCTTTGGGTTCATTGTCTCACAATGAGCTCCCATGCATATCTCTATATGCATGTTTCGCAAGCTTTGAGAGAAATATACATGCATATTCATCCTAATTTTGTTTTTCTAAGAATGAACTTAGTGATGGTTGACACTATCATCTATCTATCTGAATTGCTAATTAATTTATGAAATTATGAGATGGGGGCAGGTATGCCTGGTTCTTCGAGGACTCTTCGGGAAAGACCATGATGGCAACAGGGAGTGAGGCTGTAATCACACAAAGGCACAAAGGATGCAGGGGTGAACAGGAACAGAGAGTACAGGGAAAAAAGGTGTGTGTGTCGGGTTGGGGAGATAGAGGCAAGGTGGAGTGGGATGAAGGATGCGATGGCAGGCAGTGATGGGGAAGGGGGAGAGGCACAGAGTTTCATTCACACGACAAAGATTAGAGTTGCGGGGGATAGACGGCATGGACCAAAGGAGCAAAAAGGCTGGGG